TGTAAAGTTCTTAGTGTAATCGACCTGGCAGAATGCCTTCAGACCAGAAGACCTTCTGAGCAGAAGGGCTCCAAGAGCAGAAGACCCTCGTAAGGCATTATTGAAACAGAGGACCTTTGGTTCTCTGCTCCAGAACAGAAGACCTCAGGGTCTCTGTTAGTCTTTTCTCTGACAGAAACCCTTCTGGGTCTCTGTTGGATATACTCTCAACAGAAGTGCTCCAGACCTCCTCTGTTCTACTCTCAGTTAAAGACACTAGAAGGTCTGACACTTTGAAGAATTTCACAGAACCGGGAAGTCAACTAAAAGATTCCTTCAAACGGATAGGAGTATGAAACGGAAAAGCTACAGTGCACGCATTAAATGCTCATTTAATGCTCCCCATACTCCGTAGAGTAATTGCAGATGATTGGCCGCAATGTCAGGAATACTTTATCCCAAAATAGTAACCCGCCAACTTTACCGGGCTCTACTAGTCAAGTCAACTGATCGCTCATTTAATGCAGTTGTCCTCCTACCCCTCCAACGGGAAGACAACCTCAGTATAAAAGATACACTACGAAGAACAACCGGATAACTTTGCAATTTTTGCTAACCATTGCTACAACTCTTCATACAAGAAATTCAAACGCCTAAAAGCAAAAAGCCTCCTTGAGATTAACACTTCATCATCTTCTACAAGAGAAGGCAGAAGTTGGAAAAATACTTTTTCCAACTCAAGCAAAGTTCCAAGTGTTCTTCAACTCTTCAAGCTCATCACATACAAATCCTTTGTAACGAAGCTAGTTGGAGGAACCCCTGTTTTAACAGAAACTCTTCTTACTACAAGAAGGACGTCCAAGTAACTTGAGTAGTGAAGTGGTGATACTTCCAGGAATCTCAGTGAAAGGACCAGTCTTAAAGGAAGCCAGGTAGTGCATCCCAGGAGACATCTACACTTGAAGAAGACGTGGAGAGCTTCTTAAGTGATAGGGCTAAGGCATTGTAAACGGAAGTCTTTACAGCTTAGTGGAACAGTGGACTAGAGGAACAAGTTGTTCCTTGAACCACTATAAAAATCCCTGGTGCCGTTTACTTACTGCTTTAATATTTGCACTTAGATAGAACTGTCTAACTCCTCAGACTTGGTATCTGTGTTCAGCAGAACTTGTCCTACGAGTTAACAGAAGGCCTACTGCCTTTGCTTCTCTGAGGCTAAATCAACAGAACTCCTCCAGAACCTCATCCACTGCCAGTCTGTTCTGTCAACAGAACAGGCTATTCTGTAAAATCTGGTACTTCATTTAAAAAGCTAAAAACCAATACAGTCTATTCACCCCCCCTCTAGACTGTGTCCAGTATAACCGGGACCAACAGAAATACAGGACCATCATTTTGGGACGGAGGGAGTAATAGATTTTATTAATGTTGCTATTGCTTTTTGTTGAGATGAGTGGTTGAGGGTGATTTTTTGGCTTTTTGAGTGTTTGACACAAGAACTAGAATTTTAATAACCACATGTAAATCTAAAGTATTACTCCATCCATCCCAAAATGATTGTCATGTATTTGCTTTTTGGGATGTCCCAAAATGATGGTCCTGTTTCCCTTTTTGGAAAGAAATATGTGGTCCATATCATTTCACTTTATTATACTGAAATCTAAACCACAACTTTTACCTTTTCAACCACTTTATTAAAACTTGTGTCCAAAAGAAATGAGACTATCAAATTGGGACGGAGGGAGTAACTTTTAAAGTTGTTTCTCTTTCAAAAAGAACATTTCAAGGAAGTGTGTACCACCACTTTGCCTTGCCTATTGGTATTACAATGTTTTTGTAGGGAACACAAGTCAAATGCACAAGGACAACAAGCCTACACCAGATCGGCCTTTGGTGCTAGCGCAAGACATTACTTCTGCTGCAAAACTATGTTGGAGTTTCCATTTGGTTCTATTTCAGCTTCATGAAGGACCAGATCGGAAAATTAGGAGTAAAACGAAATATTTAAGACACTATTGATTGAAATGTTTTGATTGACCTTTTATAGCTCTTTGTTTTCTAAAAAATAAAAATAAGATGGGTTGATTATTTAAAGGTAATTCCTCTAGATCGATTATCTTGCGGTAAAAATAATCATTATTAGAAAACAGTAATCACTTTATGAACATCAGCTATTATAATATTGTTTTAATAATATACAATCACATAATTAAGAATAAAAAGTAAGAGCACAATAGAAAAGATCAAGAAGAATCCGAGTAAAATATTGTATCTTTATCCAGAAACCAAAATTCAAATTAATTGCAAAAGTTGCGAATAGGTTTTCTCATACTTAAAGACATTATTTAAAAAGAAGCCTTCCTAAAATTCATACTTCATTTTCCGAATAGATAATTCGAACACCAATAAAGACAAATTATTCAAGGGAACGGGAAACAAACAATTGGTGTATGGAATATAATTGAAAATTAAACGGTTGGGAGAAATAAATAAAGATTCGTGCAATTCGAGTTTATAACACTTATCTCTATCCGTTCAAAAAAACTTATCCCTATGGCAGGATTGGGTTTGCATTTTCTCCAGTGAATCAAATTCCCCAATTTCAAAGAAATGAAATTGATACCAGATTATCGGTTGCATGATGTCTGTTGATCATAGCTAATTGACCGAAATTGATACCAGATTATGAGGTTTGTTGATCACTGTGAAAGCGGCTACCGATGAGGGTTAGTGCATGAAGTTATATGCCTAAAGATTTTGGGCTGCTAAATTCGACTACTCTAATTCTAAAAATGTAAAATGGGCTGTTGTGAACGAAGTATATAGAAAAATGGATAAGAGTAATCCCGACAAAAAGTAATCTGTTTTGAAATAATGCAAAATATCAATTATTTCAAAAAAAATCAACTATTGAAAAAAATCACAAAATACTTTAGGAACAATAGAATATCATAAGTCATTACGTATTATTAATTATTCCTAGAGTATTTTGAGATTTTTTTCAATAGCTGGAATTATTTTGAGTTAATTGATATCTTGATATTATTTCAAGCACATTACTAATAGTTGCAATTATTTCTGTCCATTTTTTCAAGTATGTATTGATATGGGGTATATATGGACTTGATTATTTGTTTGGTTGGTCTAATCTTTTTAATGATCACATTTCTTTTATATTTTAACTAATAAGTTACACATTTTCCCGTTTTTTATCAATTAAAAATGGGAGAATTTGACTTTGCACACCATGTTTTGGGTGATATTTGACTTTGCACCCTATTTTCAAAATCATTAATGTATGTATGCACCCCAATTCACTATAAAATCATTTTACTTTGCACCCCACTCCTTCACAAATTTTGGGCTAATGAGGTGCATACATTAATGATTTTCAAAATGGGATGCAAAGTCAAATATTACCCAAAACATGGGGTGCAAACTCAAATTCTCTCATTAAAAATCTACACCTATAACTATATATAAATGGAATTGGTTGAAATAAATGTACCACGAAAACGTAATGGTCCGTAACATGCGGTGATTCCAGTGATTGAAAAAAGCACCACTAAGTTATGCTCTTACACTTCTCAAAAAAACATCAAATACTTTAAATTCCCGAAATATGACTAAAAATGTTTGAAAATTCTAAAATTGGATTGTCATGTTTGAGAATTCTAAAATAGGATTGTCACGTTTTAATCTAAAATAGGGAAAATGTAGCAAAATTTTAAATAAATGCAAAAAGGAAAGTAGCAAACTTTAAAATACGGAGGGAGTACTACATACTTATTAACACATTAATGATGTATTTTTGAGTTGCCATTCACCACATCCAATTACAAACCTGGACTCATTGGCGACCCGGTGAAGTGACCAGATCAAGGGTCAATCCCGACTCAGAGGGTCAGTCCGATTAACGGTCAAAAACCTGGTCAATATTTTTCTAAATAAAATTTAAATTATGTACCGAGTATTATTTTTGTATTATCAAATTAAGGGAAAACTTCTCATTATTTATAATATTAGTAATCATGATACATATAAGTATTTGGATATATGGCTATGTAGTACGAACGATATGAATAAGAAAATATGTATAATGTGATTGTTTTTTGATAATAATCGATGAGAGTTGTTTAAATATATTGGAACATGAAGGGATAATAGCAACTAAGGAACAAGTACAACTAATTGGCTTAAGTAGTGCATTGGATTTTAGGGGGGAAGGATAATTTGGGCACACCATACATCAAATCTCACACTAGACAAAAATTTTGAAAAATCAAAATTACTGGGTTTGCCGGTTTCGGGGAAAGGGTTTGCGACTGGGTTTCGTGCAGGTTGTCATGATTTGCGAGTTTGGTCCTAACTGACCCGGTATGCCAAGTGTGTCGACCCTCTCGGGCTGGTTCGGGTCTGATAACATAACTTTTATTTCTTTTTTGCTAGATGTATACTTACAATTCGTATTATTACATTACGACAATTGAATTCTTACGTAGGAAATGATTAAATTTCATGTTTAATTTGTATTACTCAAAAATTTATTTTTTATATGAGAAATATATTTGCCCGTGCATCGCACGGGTATAATACTAGTTGAATAAGAAAAGGTGATTTTATTTGGAAAATTTCTAAAAAAGAACATTAATAAGTTAAGAATTCCCTAAATAGGAGTAAAAAAGTTTTGAAATTCCAAAATAGGACTATCATGTTTTTTATTCCTTGAATATGAGTAAATTTCTGCCAAGTTTGACATCACTAGACTTTAAACATGACATTTTTTTCCAAACATGATAGATTACTCATATTTAGGGAATAAAAAACATGATACTCCTGTTTTGGAATTTCAAAACGTTTTCAAATTGAATTTTCGCTCCTATTTAGTGCAATTTCTTTTTAAAGAACTAATGAATGAAATAGGTAGTATAATTAGTTACAAAGTTCCAATCCCTAAAAAAGATTTAAAACGTATTTGAACTTTTTTAATAGCCATTGAAATCCAATTTTGGATCCGTTCCCAAATTCCCACACCATTATTCCGCAACCACCCGAATTTTGGTTAATTGTAAACCCAATCAATTATACCGGCATACAGATCAAACCTGACCCACCCAATTCCAATCTCAAATCGGGCATTTCCCGATTCGCATTCCCTCTCGGTGTTCCAAATCCAACACCACCCTAATGTTTCTCGGTTCGGACGATCCGATCTCTGCCAAACGTCTCCGGAGCTCCGACAAAGACATACCGTCAGCTCAAGGTCCGACCATTTCATGATTCTCTTAGAAAAGAACTCCAGTTTTAACCTTTGTTTTTGCTGCATATCATTTGCTGCGAATTAACCTAACGCTGAATTGCTCAAATGAAAAGATAGTAGATGTTAAATCTCTATTTTTTAGAGTGTTAAATCTCTAATTTGTTCAAAGGTGACTTTAATTATTGCTCGTTTATCAAATCATTAGCTGGATTTTAATTTTTATCGTATTTTTATTTTAGTTATGTACATGCATGCAAGTATGAAGTATGTTACATCCATGTACATCTTGACTGTAGATATCATATTTGAACCAGTGCAATGTGAGTTTTAGGTAAAGACAGATATGGAAAACCAATTCCTCTGGTATAAGACTTGGTTTTGATTCAGGGGTTTATTTATCTGCTTGTTCTGATTCTCATGTCCACGTTTCTGTAAACTGTGGACAGGCAGATGTTAGTATTTCATGATCAAACATTGAAGTATATGGAGTATAGGAGCATCTCCAATCAGGACAGATCCTAGCTAAATTTAGGCTTAATTGGATATGTAAAAAATCTAGATACAGTAATTTTTATAGTGTAGTTTATTTTGAAATGAAGTACGTAGTAATAAATATCGCAAATGTAACTAAATTTGGATCCAAGTTGATCTTTATAAAAAGACTTATATACGAAGTATTTTGTTGTAATATAATTTGTTAAAGTAACATCACAGAAGTAGCAAATTGGATAATATCCCAATTTAAAAACATAAATAAATACATATATGTATACGGAGTATTATTTATTTTAATTACGGAAGAACAATCTGATGTCCAAAAGCACATAGATGAGATGAGAAGAGTTCAATTTAATTAAAAATACCCGAATATAAACGTAAATTATATTATAGATATATCTTCCTTATAATATATAAGTACAATCCCATAATGTCAGGCCCCAATTTAAAAAATTAGGGCCTGAAGCACGTGCCTCAATAGCCTCCAAATGGGCATGACCCTGGCTCCAATGCAAAAGTGTAAGTAGTGCACACGTGGCATGAGAGACATGGACACCAAAAATTAAATAATACTTCCTCTATCCTGAATTGAATTGCAATTTGCAGTTTTTATGGTTGACTGACGATAAAGTTAAACCATCCCCGTGGATAGAGAAATCAATTTTTAGTAGTTACTACAGTAAAATTTAAATATTTGGAAACTACATTGAAAGCTCAATAAAGTCACTAAATCCAATTTAGAATATAATAAAAAAACTGATATGCTAAATAAAGAAATAAAAGTAAACTGTGTTAGACCAGGAAAAGTTGACTTTGCAAATCATTTTGGGACAGGGAGTGGAAAGTCTCATTTTATTTCCACGGTGTAGTGAATCTTTATTTACTTTTTATTAACAATGTCAAGCACACCGTCTAGAACTAGACATTGTGTTTGACATTGTGAATGAAAAGTAACTAAACATTCATTATACCGTGGAAGAAAGAGAGATTTTCTATTAGTTTATTTATTAATTTATTATGTGGAAGCCGACCCCAATATCTTTTGGGACTAAGGCTTGGATGTTGTTGTTGTTGTTGTATGTGTCTATATCTCTATGCACCGTTCACACATTTGCAGTGCAGATGCTCTAATCTTGGCCACATAACCCATTCACATGCTTGTTTATGAATAATTATGTATTTATACACACATGCACATGCTATGTTTAAATCATCACAATGTGCTTTATTTTCGTATTTATTGCTTGTGTGATATTGGTGATTCTCTGTACTAAAAACAAGGTTATGATACTCTGTGTACTTCCTCATCAAAGACAGATTGGATTAAGTAGCATCAGTTCCACGTTATGGAAATTTCAAGTGAGGCCCCAGTTAAGAGACCAAAGCGGTTGACATCTGTTGTATGGAATCACTTCGAAAGAATTAGAAAGGGAGACATTTGTTATGCTGTTTGTGTTCACTGCAAAAAGAAACTTAGTGGATCAAGTAACAGTGGGACAACGCACCTGAGAAACCATCTGATAAGATGTCTCAAGAGGTCCAATTATGACGTTTCGCAGATACTTTCCGCAAAAAGAAAGAGAAAGGAGACTACCCTTTCTATTGCAAGTGTCACCTATGAAGAAGGGCAAAGAAAAGATGAAACCATTGCCCCCATGAGCTACAAATTTGATCAAGAGCCAAAGAAGGAAGAGAATATTATCCCTTTCAACATGGGGAGTGTTAAGTTTGACCAAGAACGAAGTAGACTTGATTTCACCCGCATGGTTATGTTACACGGCTATCCATTGTCCATGGTTGATCACGTAGGTTTCAAAATTTTTGTGAAGAACTTGCAACCTTTGTTTGAGGTCATGACTAGTAGCGCCATTGAACTTGACTGTATGACCATTTATGCTCAAGAGAAGCAGAAAGTTTATGAAGAAATACACAATCTGAATGGAAGAATAAGTCTTGTGGCTGACACATGGGTGTCACATGACAGTGGAAGGTATCTATGCTTGACTGCTTACTACATCGATGAAAATTGGAAGCTGAAGAAGAAAATTCTGAATTTTATCACACTCAACACCGATGACACAGATGACCTACTTTCAGAAGTCGTTATTAAGTGTTTGACCGACTGGTCCATTGACCGGAAGTTGTTTTCCATGACTTTTGATGAATGCTCAGGCTATGATGATGTGGTCTTTAGAATCAAAGACTGGCTATCTCAGAACAAACCACTTTTAAAGAACGGTGATTTCTTCGATGTCCGTTGTGCATCAAATGTTTTAAAGTCCATGGTTCTTGATGTTTTGGAAGCCCTCCGAGGTCTGATCCACAAGATCCGGGAAAGTATAAGGCATGTCAAAAGCTCACAAATTACTCTTGGAAAATTCAGTGAGATTGCCCGTCAAGTTGGGATCATCACTGAGAGGCATCTGGTTCTTGACTACCCAATGCAATGGCATTCAACATATATGATGCTTGAAACGGCACTGGAGTATAGGTGTGCCTTCTCTGTCCTGCAAGAGAACGATAATGACTACAAAATAAGTCTGTCTGATACCGAGTGGGAATGGTTAAATTCTCTTACGGGTTACATAAAACTCCTAGTTGAAGTTACTAAAATATTCTCAGCAAACAAACATTTAACTGCAAATGTCTATTTTCCGGAGGTGTGTGATATTCACAAGCAATTAACGGAGTGGTGTAAGAGCTCTGATGAGTTTCTTGGTGATATTGCAAACAAGATGAAAACCAAATTTGACCAGTTTTGGAGTAAGTGCAACCAATCTTTAGCAATAGCTGCTATTTTGGATCCTCGATTCAAGATGAAGCTGGTTGAGTTTTATTATCCTCAGATTTACGGTAGTGATGCTCCAAATCACATCAAGACATTGTCTGAAGCCATAACACAGCTTTTCAATGAGTATGCAATAGGTTCTTCAGCATCACTAGATCAAGACCCTTCTGCTCCTGGAAACTTACCTAGCAGCAGTTCTGTAACTAGAGATAGGCTAAGGGGCTTTGACAAATTTCTACAAGAGACTTCACAAAACCTGAGCATGCCTTCAGATTTAGCTAAGTATTTGGAAGAGCCAGTGTTTCCCCGCAATTATGATTTCAACATATTGAATTGGTGGAAAGTTCATACTCCTAGGTACCCTATATTATCTATGATTGCACGTGATGTGTTGGGAATTCCTGCATCCACACTTGGACCAGAATTAGCATTCAGCAATAAAGTTAAGATGCTCGATCAGCAAAAGAGTTTGCTTAGCGCAGATGTCCGAGAGGCTTTAGTGTGCGGTCAAGACTGGTTGCGTTTAGAAGCTGAAGGTACTTAGATCCCCCCCCACCATTCCATGGAAAATGTTGTTCTGTTTTTATGCTGTCCGCCTGTCCTAGACGCATCATTACATAAAAGTAACAGTTAGTTAATTCCATGTCTCAGATAACAACCCATCCAGCAGCAACTATGCTTTACCACTGCTCATTGAATCAAGTTAACAGCCATATGAGTGCATGGGTATGTTCTTGAGGTTTTATATTTTGTTAATGTTTCTGTATCATTTCTATCATATTCATATCTTCTAACATCTATCTCTTCTCTGTTCAAGGTGTTGACTGAAGGATTCTTAGGCAAGGGTGATTAGTATGTGTATTCTTTAGATGTTTATGAACCCTTTGCTCCAATTGCATTGGTTACGACTAGCTGAATGTGTAATTAATATATTTACGGAGTACTAGTGTACTACATAAGTATTTGCAGAATCTTCATTTTCATCAATGGAAATTGTTGTTTGTTGTGCATACACATTTATTTCTTTATGAAGTTTTTTGCGGTTCAAGAATAACATGCTCAGGTAGAAGGCACACAAAATAGAAACAGGAAAATTGAAACAAACAAAAAAGTGACGCTAATGACTACCCAAATGTAACAATACAAGCAAAATAGAAACAAAAGAAAAAACATTAAAGGTGGGCTCAATTTAAGAATCATTATTTAAGCGGCCGTACAGCAGTCACTGGTAAATGAATAAGTTCATAAAGGTTTAAACAATCTATAAAATTTATTTGGCTGAGGTTTTGGTGTTCTTGTTTGGTTCGAAGATGTACTTGATAAGGGAGTCCTTGATATGCAGTAATTGAGGGAACTCTTTCTTCAACTTGGATGCATCCAACTCATTGTTACTCCGAGGTGCTATGATCACTTTTGCCTGCTCTTCAGGTGTGAAGTTGACCCAACTAAACTCTGGATCTATGTAGTGTTTGTACATCTCCAGAATCTCATTATGGCTCACGACCCCAGGGTTTGTGAAGTTCCATATGCCCCTCAGGTCACGCTTTGCCATCTCAATGGAGACAGGGAGAAGCTCATCCAGTATGGTCATACTGTTTGGAATGTTCACCACCTTATCATAGTGCGATATTTTGCCAATAAAGTTTCGCGGGTTCTTGAGGTCCGAAGATATGGGCATGCGAATTCTCAGAATGCATACGTTGTCATATTCTGTTAAGAGCTCCTCAACCTGGTTCAAGAAAGCAGCTAAACCTCATGAACACACATTTATGACTGCAACAAAGTTTATAGGGGGTCACTTGCAATCAGGGGTGGACCCGGTGGTCCGGTTCTGGACTGTTCGGTCCTGGGCCACATAATGAGGGAACCAGAATTTTAACCGGTTATATCCAGTCCAGTTCTGGGCCTGACCTGGTCTGGTTCTGGTTCTACTTCCAGTGTTTCAGTCTGTTCAAGAAAAAATAGAATCAGAACTTGAACCGGTTCGGTCTGACAAAAAAAAATCGGACGGTCTCGGTCATAATAGGTAAAATATGAACATAAGAGAGACAAAGTTTACCATGGCCTTTGTCTTGGAATAGAAAGAACCAGTGAAATTGGGTTTGTCCTCTTCCTTGAATCCCATCCCCGAACCCTGCGGGTGAGCTGCATCATACTCAAAAATACAACCAGTGGCGAAGTTTACCAGTAAGAGACCATGCTCTCTGCATACATCAGCTAAGGTCAATACACCAGTAACATTGGCGCGTATGGTTTCAGTCTTGTGTGACTCACACCAATCAATGTTGGGTCTACCGGTGACACCTGCAGCATTGAAGACATGAGTAGGCTTAATGGACCGTAAGTCACCCAAAAGTTGTGACCGATCCTCCAGACGCCCCCTTCCATACTCATAAGCAATCCCATCCTTCTCACACAGTTTCCCAAGCAAACCGCCAATCCAACCCGTTCGTCCATAGATCAAGAACTTATAGGGGGTCTGTTTTTGAACCAAGGAGTTGCTGGTTTTCAGATGTGGGACCACAATGTGTTCCGGGTTTGGCCTCTCGGGGATTGCAGAAGATTCAGAGCTCTTCAATGGCTGCTCCACTCTACCGGGCATCATCAGCATCCTTGGATGGGGAACTAACGCACCAGATACATCACCCCACCAATCAGGGTTATTAGTATACCAATCAACAGTCTTTCTTAAACCATCCTCCCAAGTCATTCCTTCCGACCATCCCAAATTCTTCAACTTCTGATCATCCAAGTAGTATCTCTGATCATTGAATGGCCTGTTCTCCACAAACTTGATTTTTGTTTCCGGATCCAAGTTAAAAAGACCACATATGTCCCTCGCAACATCGATCACTCTCCTTTCCTTCTTCGTCCCTATGTTGTACACATGGCCAACCTCTCCCCTATGAAGTACAACCTCAAATGCCTCTGCCACGTCTTCACAATATAGATAGCTTCTGACATTTGATCCGTCCCCATGTATAGGGAGAGTTAACCCCTTCATGGCTAAAAGAATGAATTTGGGGATCAACTTCTCGGGGAACTGGTTGGGGCCATATACATTATTCCCACGGGTTGTTATAACGGGTAAACCGTAAGACCGCCCATAAGCCATGACCAACATTTCCGCACCCGCTTTCGTGGCAGAATACGGGTTCGTGGGGAGGAGCTGTGAGGCCTCGTGGTTTCCCACGACCGCATCCTCTTCAGTCTCACCGTACACCTCGTCCGTGCTGACGTGGATAAACCGCTTGATCTGACCGGCAGCGACCTTGCAGGCCTCCAAGAGCACGTGGGTTCCGTAAATGTTGTTCTTGGTGAACTCGAAGCTGTTGCCGAAGGAGTTGTCAACGTGCGTCTGTGCAGCAAAATGCATGATGGTGTCGATGGACTCGGTGACGAGGAGGTGATTGACCAGGTCAGCACTTGCGATGTCGCCCTTGACGAATTTGAAGTTCGGGGATGAGCGGGAGGGGAGGAGGTTGTTGAGATTGGAGCAGTAGTCCAGTTTGTCAAGGACAATGATCTTGTAACCTGGGTGGTTACGCATGAGTCTGTTTGTAACATGGGATGCAATGAATCCGGCTGCTCCGGTGATAAGGATGTTTTTCGGGGTGTAACTCTCCATCTTAACCAATTGACTGACCTTCTGTTATGGCTCAATATATTACAAATGTATGTATATATCAGATTCTAGATCGGCAGATATCACATTAGCTATAAATGCAATTAAGAAACTGAAACTTCTGCATTCAAGATCCTATGGAGTACTTCGTGACAAATCTAAAATAAAATAATTGTGTCATTGAGTTCATGCTACATCTCCAGAAACTATAGGCAGAACTATTCGAAAGATATTTTATATTTCAAAAACATCTCGCCATGTACAATTTCCTTGGTAAAAATGATAGAATTTTCTGAATTGTGGGAAAAGAAAAATGTCCTGTAAAAGAAAAATACGTTTATTCTATTGATAAGAAGTAGAATATGCTATATAACTATATAAGGCCTCCAAATAGTTTTTTTTTTCCGTATGAAAAATACAGCAGACACCACGTGTTTACATTTCATTGAATATGTAAAGATACTTTCCCCTATAAGGCTTTCTAAGATGGAACATTAAATCTTATTATGGCATGGATTTCATTCAGCTGAAACTGATTCAGATTGGCATGTGAAGTTGTGAACTTCAGAATCGATATTCTCGAATAAAACACATTCAAATAAAAGGATATGAAAATTAAAGCTCAATAACACAGAGAAAGTAAGAATGAGATTTTGTCAGAAAGAAGAAATGGCAGTAAAATAAAGTCTTGATAAACACATTGTACAATAGCTCTCTTGGATAATATAGATAATGCTGAGTTGCAGAACAAAAAGACCAGAGAAGATCTAGAAATGCAAAGTATGATTCACTCACATCTTAAGAGGTTAAGAAAGGAGAGCCTTGGAGTGAGGAAATTTGAGCAGTGTGTGTGGTGGATATTTATACTGCTGGGAGACAAAACATTGTCATTTGGGACCAATAAATAATGAGCAGTGTGTGTGGATATTCAACCACCCTATTATATAGAAATCTCAAATTGCCCACTAATAATGAGGTAAGATTGTTAAGAATGGTGACAAGTTTTCATTGTTATGTGTTGAAGTATTTCACACTGGCAAAATACAAATTATTAAACTACTTCCCTCGTCCCAAATTTTTTGACCAAAATGGAATTGAAAGTGAAATAAGAAAGTAAATCTTTAGTGATTGCAGCTTACTAAAAGGACCTTTAAACAAGGAAAATTAGCAAAGTTATGTGAGAAACAAAGAATGTTAGCAAAGTTATATGGGAAAACTTTATAAGGATCTTGAGTTATTACTTATATTGGATTGACCTTTCAAGATGAAAGTCAATGTCTTAAAATGGTATGAGTGCGAAACTTGTTCCATATCCATAGTGTTAGACCCTATAAAATTAAAAAAATTACACCGTATAATGAATCGATTAAAAAATAAATAACAACAAGATTTAGTCAAAGTGTTTTGTGGTGAAGAGGCTTTGAAATACTCTTGCACCGATAAAATATGAAAATATGAACAATTAGACCGGTATTAAGATTCTCCGTATTAAGTTGCTCCCTATCGTGTAACATTTTGAAACATTTTGATCTAGTAACGCCAACAGTTGCTCAATAGGATTGAACTGGTCATTAGTCTCGGAGCCCGTCTATATTTCCCTTTGCAAATTTACCCACTTCAGCTCAAATTAAAATTACAAAAACTATCAATCCATTTGTAATTTTGTATCTTATGAGAATTATGATCAAAAGGTGAAGTAGTACCTATAGAAGATAAGATACAAGAATCTCGTTTGCGGTGGTTTGGGCATGTACGTAGAAGATCGAGTGATGCAGAGAAGAGAGGAAGAAGAAAGACCCAAACAGACTTGGATGAGAGAATCAGAACTGATATGCGTCTTCTTGGGTTGGATGAGAATATGACTTTGGAGAGAGCAAAGTGAAGGGCGCACATCCGTGTGGACGATTGATCTCTTTTCTACATTTCCTCTCTCTTTTCATTTATCGTTCATCTTCTTTATGTTTTATATTCTTATGTTATTTTTATCTTCTAGCTTTTTTATGCTCTTTTATTTTTCTATCTTTTATCTTTCTTATACTCTCGTATTTATTTATCTGTATTTTATCCGCTTTATCTTACTTCTTTCCCTCCCCCCTTGCATCGATATCATTGACCCCAAATTCTTTTGGTATTAAGGCTTGGATGTTGTTGTTGTTGATGAGAATTATGATCAAATTATGGCTACTTAGATTTTAATAATCCCTGCTATGTTAGGTTTTCTCATAAACAATTTCAAGTTAATAGGACCAGTATAAGTATGAATACTTTTTGAAGAAAAAAAGAATGATTTTTGGATGCTTAACCATATGATTGTTCAGCATGAACTGATAATATATGATTTATAGTATTTCCCATAAACTTAAACCATCCCACACTTATTACTTTGATCTGACCAGGTTTACTGTTTACGTTTTATATGAAACTCGAAATCATAAAATCATATCAATTAAACTCAAATAAATCATTTAATCTTTGTAAATTTTAACAACGTGAAGAGCATATATATATATGACTTACGTACGTAGTACATATAATAAGGTCTTAATTAAAAGCCTAATTTTAAAAAGTCCGTAGTTAAAACCACTACCTTATATACAACGTTATTTTAGTAGTTTAGTTGAACCACGTGTATGTTAGCTACATGTAACATGTTCTACTCCTACCTAAACGTAGTACTGCGTAAAAGACCAAACTCCTTTATAGTATTATTACCCGTCCTATTAAAAATTCTTCATTTCAGATTTTCAGTTTGAATGTCCTTTTTCTTATGTAGTAAAAAGTAAAAACAATGGAAATGAAGGAAACACGATGGTTCCTTTGCTTCAAAATACTTCAATACTTTATTTAAATCAGTCATAACATTTAAGAGTAACTCATTGAGCATCACTGGCTTACACGGTGATCCACCTAAATCATCATCATAAAAATAAAACTAATTTGCAGAAAAAAATCTAATGTCACTAATTGACTTAGAGTTAACAATACATAGATTACACTCCACATACATGTAGCCACAGGTTAAGTTCCAAGAAATAATAATCCCCGTGCCAATACCATGTTATAGATATATTCAACAGTGGCAGCTCCAACTTAATTGGGGCTTTTTGCATATCTTCTAGCAGCATGCTCAAGCTTTTTCACCATCTTTAAAGGAGCAACAATTATTGCCTCCTCCTCAATAATCTAATATACACGAAACACGGAGTTTGATCTGAATGGAGACGGCGGGAAATGGGAAGAGTAATGAAACAAAGATATTCTTACATTGCTAAGTACTATAAACAAACACAGAAGTTACATTGCTAATTAAATTTTGTAACCTTTCAAGTCAGTAAAGTTCTTAAGGATTTTTAATTAATATGGCCGAGATTATTTTTGCTTTGAAATATGACTTTAGTAAAATATTAGGGTTGTGATTCATAACACCAAAAGATGGCTCACCTTTAAGTCAGTAACATGTTCCTGCAAATTCTCAGATAACTCTTTCGGCTTCTGGGATTTATCTCTTAGTTAATTTATCACTCTAACAACATCACTAAGTGCGACTGATTTAACCAAATACTCCAACAGGTAAGGCTAAGAGGCATTACAGATAATTAGTTGAACTCTAATTATCCATAACTTAAATACACAATCAATAGAATGTGTAAGAATACACAAGAAACATTACAGATAATTAGGATATAATACCATGTCTTGAAAAGATACTGTAAATAGAGTATCATGATTATTCTATGATAATTTCATATTTTCTTACAGATAAATAGGATATGATTAGCCTATCAACAACATCAAAATTAATACGTGCAGCTTGGATTTCTCTCACCTATTGCCTCCTATTCATAATAAAGTTGCCTATATTATAACTGCTTTAATTTAGACCTGGATTTCAGTGTAATTTGCCATATTTCTGATTGATTTTGCTGCTAATTTAAAAGGGGATACAATTTTAGATAGGCTAAACACCCCTACACTAGCTAACCCCTTTCATGTACTCGAGGTAAGGCATCCTGTCCCCCTTTTTGAAATCTTTCCACTTTTTAATAATACTTGGTAAGAGATGCCTAACGGTTAACAGTTAATACCGGGTGTTGGTCCAAAATAGGACGCTCGTACGTTTTTAGGAAAGCTACGTACGACACTCAAGCAGGAAATCAAGAAAGTATATGAATAAGGAAAGTTGCTAAGAGAATTTGATAGCCAGAAATAACATATCAAAATCGCCTCCTCTAATTTGAATTACAACCCGCCTTTTATAGGCGTATACAAATCGTAACCGCTACCGATAATAATGACTAATTAATTACAACATTAATACTGAATTAAGTACATAATTAATAGCGCATTAATTGCTTGACCGTTATTCTTCCGGACTGGGAGGTCGGCCGGACTGGCTGGCTCCAGGTTGTGGACTTGGATCCACGGGTCCAAGTTGGAGCTTGGGATTATTAGGCTCTAGGCCTAGTCCCATAACTCCATCAACGGGATAGGAACATGACATAGGCAAAACAGAGAATACCTCAACCATTTAATAGATAAATATACTATGTATATGTTTAGATATTGTTTCATTAAAAATAACACATTGAGCATGATTGATTGCTACACAAACCTGGGAGAAACAAAAAATATAGCGAATGTGACTCAATTGATGTAGCACTAATTAATCAACATATACCTTAACATGCTTAAAAGGCAGATTAAAGTATAAAAATGTATTTTGATGAGACAAAGGGAAGGAAATTCACTTTAATCTTGTTCTTCATGTCTCTGTTTCGTAATCAGGAGACGTTCAGCAGAAATATAAAGCAACCAATTAAAATCTTCAAAGTGGAACTAAAATAAATATAGGACATTTTCAAATTTGATTATACTAACAATTGTTAGGTCTGTTTCATATGCCTTCAAAGCTACTAAGTTAAAATAATGAAGAAATAAAAAAAAAACTTCAAACTATCACCATAGTACTCGAATGATTGAAAACTATCCATTTAGGACCTAAGTTTTCATAAATTTTTTTATTATTTTTATTTTAAAAAATTTAAATAATATTTAGTTTTATTAAACTAATAAACTTTTGTGAAGAAAATTTCGCCAAATATTAGCAATGGAATTAATAAAAAATTAAATAAATCAAAACCTATGAATTGTAAGGTCCTAAATTGATAGTTTTTCATCTTTCGAGTACTATACGGATACATTTCATCTTTCGGATCCCGGATTGATAATTCTTCTATCTTTCAGGTCCCAGACTGATAAAATTCCTAAATATAGGTATGCCTTCAAAGCTCCTCAAGTTAAAAAAATGAAGAAATTAAAAAACTTCAAACTGTCTCTAAAATAAATATAGGACATTTTTAGATTTCATTATACCGACAATTGTTAGGTCTGTTTTCAAAGCTACTAAACTCGAAAGAAAGTATATACTGGAACTAAGTATGTGCCCTCAAAGCTACTCAAATTAAAATAATGAATAGATCCAAAAACTTCAAACAGGAACTATAATAAATAGGGGACATCTTTTAGATGTCATCATGTACTTAACAGATAAGTATACCAATGACAGAATGGTATGTTCAACAGAAATATAAAGCAGTCAGTTAAAAATCAAATAAATTGGTCAAGCGAAAAAAATGAAAATATGAATTTCATACCTTATAGTTGCCAAGTTACTCATTAAAATAATGATAGACAATGATAATATCAATAGTAAACGCAGATGAAAAGGAGGAAGATGATCGTAAAATTATTATTAACCAACTGAACCGATCACAAGGATACAATGCTCAGGGGCGATTATGAGAGGCCCAATTTCCAATGTTCTGACATCTAACCAAATAACAGCCTGCATTTATTATCTCATAGCATACTATTTATAGTAAAAGTGTCCACGCAGGGACAAAAGAGAATAACTAACTCAAAAACTAATTACTGAATAGTCCTTC